CAAATAATTAAATCCAAAGACTTCAATGAGTTAGAGATCCATAGGATGTCGGAGCTGTTGAGCGCCGCCAACGTCTTCATCAGTGATCCCATCCATCCGTTCATCAGCGAAGAGATCACAGATTTGTCGCAATTGATGGCATGTGTGCCACATATGGTGGACACCGAGAACCGGGCGATAGTCCGCTTTTCATCGCAATTGAGTTTACAGGACAGCCTACTCTGCAAAGACCTGACACTTCTGGTCAACTATGGATCAAATGACTTACGACTCTTGAGGTCGATATTGTACTTTAATTTTGATAACAACTACTGGTCAGTTAAAATGGTATATATTTAATGAGTAACCTAGGTACTTACATAGATTAAATACCACTAATAATATTTATATTATTTATAGCCCAATAATAAATATATTTATCTTAAAATGGATTTATTGAATATTATGAGCACTTATAAGAGACTTGAAATCCTATTTACAAATATCAACTCCGAATGGGACAAAGACCCTGCTATTATAGATTTGGTAATATAGAATTTTAATATCAATTAATTATAGCTAATAAATTATTTAAAAATTTTTGACAGATGACTGCAATTGTATTTTTTAACCCAAATCGACCCAAACTTGTACACAAAAAGGCAGTTAAGTAAGTGCACACACTTATACATAATTTATAAATTTATAATATATGATAGCAATAAAATAATAATTTTTATAATTGTTATTATTGTATAGTACTTATATATTGACTACTTAATCAATAAAATCTAATAAAAAATATTTTACACTTTTTATTACAGACTCCAACAACATATTTACATGTATTTACTTCGACGTTATCTACAGATAAAATATGGACCACTATCTGAGACAAAGTTTTCAAAACTGATGTCAACTGTAATTGAACTAGAAGTGTTAGGAACAACTATCAGGGACCTTTTGAACAGTATTAACATACAATATAAACCAATTAGATGAAATCTGTTAATTTACTGACAATGAGTACAGTAGTATAGTGCAATCAGTTTAATTTATACATTAGTACATAACTAATCCAGTAGTAATACTTTATCACCCAATAACTAAAACAGTATCTTTTAAAAGTAAGAGTATGCCTAACTGTTAGGCCTTAACATAATGGTACAGATATTATAATTAGCTCATAAAATAATTAAATTAAAATTTATTTGTTAGTTCCCTTATAACCTTTCTAAATTGTGGTTAATTTTATTACATAGCTATAAAATGTGTATAAAACTGATATAAAATAGCCCTTAAATGTTCCAAACATAGGATACACGTAATAATAATAATAATAATAATAATACTCATTGATAAGATAAAATAATAATAATTTTTGATTGATAATGAATTGACGAAATTTAACACAGTATGTGAAAATATATGTTTATTCACTGTACAGTACCATTTATATGACAATTTTCATGAAACACTTCTTTCATATTAATTCATAAAATAATAAAACTCGAGATAATATATAATGAAAGTATTATTGAGTTAAATTATAATCAAAGTACTTGCAATAACAACTTGTAGCTAATATTAAATAAATAGTTGGCTCGACATATTTTTATATTATTATTATCATATATCCAAAAAGTGAATATTTTACTAACTTGCTGAGTTATTGGAATTATTGTTTGTAAACTAAAAGTTTTAATGAAAAAAAACTGTCAAATAATTTATGGGAAAATATTTCCAATCAAGTTATGGTGCAATAAGTTTACTATAATAAGTGAATCGACTATTGGTTATCGACATGAATGATAAATATTGCAAAGTTTGTGGCGACAGAGCGTCGGGTAATAAAACTAATAACCATTTCGTGTCTAATGTACTAATAATAAGTTAATATTATTTGAAAATATGCCACTATTTAGGGAGAAATTTTGGTGGACTTTCGTGCGATTCTTGTAAAGCATTTTTCAGACGAACTGCTGTCAAAGATAATGTATTTATTATCACTAATTAATTATAAAAACTTTGTAAACTTATCCTGCTATTCAAATTATAGATATACTTTTGCTACACAAACAATAACTGCATATTAGGGCCGAGGGATAGGAACTGCAAAAAGTGTCGACTCGAGAGATGCTATGCCTCGGGAATGAAACGAGTAATACATTTCATGTTATATTTATTAACAGAATATAGTATTTAACAGAATATTCTGTATATAAATAGGAGTTAATACGAACTGAGGAAGAGTTAGATATGAGACGAGCGATGATTGAAGGAAATCGTCGGAAGAAACAGAAGTCCTTTTCGGCGACGACTGAAGACTTGAATATCAATAGCAATATTGACTTTAATATAGACTTGAATACCAATAGCAATGACTCGTCGCAGGAGTCCATGAAATCATACGAAGAAAACTCTAACTTTATGTCGGATTTGATGACCAAAACCATTAGTAAGGATGACCTGAACGAACAGATCACGGAAATCGAGAACTATTTGATAGACAATGAAAGCGACGAGTCTTCAGACCATACCTACCATAAGATGATCAATGAGTTGGATGTGATTCCCGTCTTTCAGCACATTATAACATACAATGTGTTCAACGAGTTGGAGATCAATAGACTACTGGAGCTGTTCAGCGCCGCCAATATCTTCATCAGCGGTCCACTGTATCCGATGGTTAAGAAGGATATCACAGAAGTGTCCCAACTCTACAACCATATCCCCAACCTTTTGGTGAAAAATATCAAGACTACGATATATTTCGCTAAGAATTTAAGTCTATGTCAAGAGTTGTTTGAAGACGACAAGAAATATTTGGTTAGATATGGCTATTCAGACGTCCGGCTATTGCGGTCTATATTTTACTATAACTTCGAGGACCAGTACTGGACTGTAAATACGGTTAGTTTAATACATTAGTAGTGAGCTACTTACTAAATACTTATTAGATACTTACTAGCTAGCTAAATAATAATACTTCTTGTTAGTAATCACCAGTAAATTAATGTCAGTTTACTTTTTGTTTGTATAATAGCACCATCAAACATCAATTATCATGAGATTAAAAATATTTAGCCATCGCAAGGAATACTATCCACGGATGAAGGCATTTATTGATACATTAGATGCTGAATGGGACAGGGATCAGGTTGTACTGGACTTAGTAAGTATAATAGTATCATGTATTTTGTATAAGTTAATTGTAGCATATTAAATAATAATTTCAATTTATTATTCAATAGCTAACAGCAATCGTATTCTTTAATCCCAATCGACCCAAACTTAATTACAGAGATATCGTGAAGTAAGTATAGAAAGTAAATTTACTAAATCTTAATAAGTATTTTTTAATTTTTGATTAATCATATAAATATTTTATTACAAAAGGCTCCAGCAATATATTTACATGTATTTACTGCAACGCTACCTACTATTGAAACATCAGTCAGAATCGGAAGCTCAACAAAAATTCTGTAAATTCATGGATAATCTAAATGAATTGGAGGTATTGGGGGACATCAAGCGAAAGTATGAATGTAAAAATAAAAAGTGTCCACCTAAAATAACTAATATAGATGAATTATATAAATCATCATAATATAATTAATAATTATAATTAATTAATTAATAATATAATTAATTATCATACTATAGTATATTCCCGTTAATTCCTTATACTTGATATTTATTTTAATTTATAATAATGTGTTTATATTTATTTTTAAAATTAATTTTGTTATAATTTTAGAGATATTTATTGTCAAATGATCGTCAAAATAATATAAAGAATCCTGATTTAAAATAAATAAACGATATTTGTTGTAAGATTTTGAACTTTAAGAGTACAGTACAGTGCAAAATAATTATTTCAAGCACACAGAGAACTTGATAAAGAATCAAGGTTATGGAATTTGCTATATTACAATTATTCGCTGACTTTCTATAATAGATGTTTCTATTGACACTCGTTTGCATCATATTTACAGCAGTCATTAAAAGGTGATAAAAAGCAATTAAGTTTTGATTTTGTGATAATAATTACATAAACCCTATGCAGTACTGGGAAACTATTTGACGCCACTATGATCTTTGTAATAAAATGAATTTATTATTTTGTCTAAATATTGATTGTATTTGAACTGATATATTGGGAACAATTTATGTTTGGTAAATAATATTTTTATCATACAGATATTATCTATTTTTGTGCAAGAATAGTTCAAAATATTTCTAATACAACATGAATAATAAGATTGTTGATAAAGTTTGTATGATTTGTGGTGGATACAAAACAATTGGTAAATCATCATTTATTTTATGCAATTTATTATTATGTACACAAATTATAAATATATATATCTACAGGCTAATATAAATTACTAGATTGTTTTTAAAAAATAAATATCATTAAATAATATTGTATTATCAGGGAGAAATTTTGGTGCCATTACTTGCGATTCGTGTAAATCATTTTTCCGGAGGACTGCACTTAAAAATAAGGTTTAATACTAAATATTTTTAAAAAATAAATATCATTAAATAATATTGTATTATCAGGGAGAAATTTTGGTGCCATTACTTGCGATTCGTGTAAATCATTTTTCCGGAGGACTGCACTTAAAAATAAGGTTTAATACTAAATAATTATAACAATAACATGGATTATAGGTATAAATTATACACTTTTATAGCCATTCATATGTCCATCTGATGGCAACTGCGATATAACCACTACAACGAGAAAATCATGTCAAAAATGTAGACTAAATAAGTGTTTTGAAGTGGGAATGAAAAAAGTAAATAACTTTATTGTTCATTATTAATACATAAATAAGTTATAAAACTTTATGCATTTATATAGGAATTTATACGCAATGTGGAGGTAAATGAGTTACGAAAGCAATTAATTAATGAAAATAAACAAAAATCACGACAAAATTCTGTCGACAACTCAGTCGACGATTCATCAAATGAGACCAAACTTTCTGATGAGACATACGCTCAAGAAATCGAGGCATTGATCGGAGACTCGCTTAATATCAGTGATGAAGCACTCAGTGAACAGATTATGGAAATTGAAAGTTATGTGACAAATGAGGGAAATGTAGAAAATGTAAAACAAAGTGCAAAATCTTTAACAGTGATGCCTGTATTCAAAGAGATCACAGACTATAACGGATTCAATCACTTGGAGTCCAATCGGATATCCGAGTTGTTGAGCGCATCCGATGTTATAAACTATCCGTTTTCGGCAAACATAACCGAAATAACAGATTATGACTTATTTTATCGTTTAACAGCGCCGGGAGCTGATATCTATGCAAATGATATGGTGACCTTTATAAAAAGTCTAAATAGCTTCAGAAATATCTGCAAAAACGATCAGTTTTCACTCGTGAAGTCCGGATGCATAGATATTATGTTATTAAGATGTTTGAATTATATTGATCATGATTTTCAAAACTATTTGTTTCCAATTGTGAGTTATTTGAAAATTTATATAATTGTTTGTTTAATACATTTGAAAATATTTGATTAATAGGACAATGAGAAAACATTGTGTATTCCCGTAGAAGTAATGAAAAGGGAAAAGACAGACATTTTTAATAAAACCAAACCCATTGTGGACCGACTGATGGCTGTATGGCAACGCGATTCTGTTATAATGGAGCTGGTACAGTAGATAGTTAAATTAATAGTAATAAATACAGTGTATATTATTTATTAAATTAATTATTTCCATTTATAGTTAACAGCTATTATCATATTCAATCCAAACACACCAAAAATAACTCATAGGACTAGTGTTAAGTAAGTCAATCTTGACATTTATTCTTGTTTATTAATAATAGCGTACTTTTTTGTTTGTGCATATATAATAATAATAATTGAAATTAAATTTACATCGCTTATTAGGCTTGAACAGCAACTATACATATATTTACTACAGAGGTATCTATTATTAAAATGTGGATCGGATGTGGAATCGCAATCAAAGCTACAGGCGCTCATGATTTCATTGTTTGAATTAATCTCGTTTAGAGATTTGCATCGAAAGGATATGAAAACTTATATACACCTGTATGGGCCACTATTTAATGAGATATTCATTCAAAGCTAGATACACTATATTTAATAATCAATAAATAATCTAATATTTTGACAATTCTATAAATCAATAAATTGTAATTCATGTAAAAATTTAATTATTGTAACATTATATAAAATTATAACATATTAAAAGTTGTTCAATTGATTTTAAAACTTACTTATAAATTAACAGTAAAATAAATTATATTGGTACCCTAATAGCACCTGATGGACAGAGTTATATCCGGAATATTTCAATTTTAGAGTCACAATGAAAATACACTGTGCTACTTAATTAAATTAATACAGCAAGGACCTTGTTTCAAAATTTTGACGATATTTGTTGTAGAATTAGAGATTAGAATAAAGTACATACCCTTAACATACCCTTAAGTATTATTTTAAGTATTGTATTGTTTTATTATTTTTGTATTTAAGTATTTAAGTATTATTTATGTTAAGTATTTAATATTTTCAAATATTACACGAAAAGAAATTGATATATATACTATGCCCTCTATATGAAATACAATAATTGTATTTATTTATTAAAATTATTTTACTTGCCTGTATTACAGTATTTTGGTTGTATAGTATACAAAGTACTACAATAAAAATACTACAACATGAGTAATAAAATTGTCGATAAAGTTTGTACGATATGTGATGGGAATAAGACAATTTGTAATTATAATAAAATTTTTATATTACACAATTTATCATTTTAATATATGAAAATCAAATAAATTAAAATTTTAAAATAATACAGTACCAATATAATTACTAAGCTTTAACATTATTAATAAAAATTTGATATAATAGGCAGAAATTTTGGTGCCATTACTTGCGATTCGTGTAAATCATTTTTCCGGAGAACTGCACTCATAACAAGGGTTAACCTAAAATTATTGGCAATTTGTTAGCATTATTAGATTTAATAATCTTTACATTTGATAGCCATTGATCTGTCCCTCGGATGGTAAATGCAATATAACCACAGCAACGAGAAAATGTTGTCAAAAATGTAGACTTAATAAGTGTTTTGCAGTCGGAATGAAAAAAGTAATTATAAAACTTTCGTAATTAAATAATCAATTTATTATTATTTTATGATTTTTTTCAATAGGAGTTCATACGTGATGTGGAGGCAAATGAGTTAAGAAAACAATTAATTAAAGAAAATAAACATAAATCTCAACAAAATAATGAAAACAATTCAGTTGACAAACCTATTGATAATTCTGTGGACAATGTCATCAACGATACATCAAATGAGACCAAACTTTCTGATGAGACATACGCTCAAGAAATCGAGGTAAATCTCAACAAAATAATGAAAACAATTCAGTTGACAAACCTATTGATAATTCTGTGGACAATGTCATCAACGATACATCAAATGAGACCAAACTTTCTGATGAGACATACGCTCAAGAAATCGAGGCATTGATCGAAGACTCGCTTAATATCAGCGATGAAGCACTCAGTGAACAGATTATGGAAATTGAAAGTTATGTCATAAAAGATACAAACGTTGAAAAAGTGGCTCAAAATACTAACCCTTTAGCAGTGATACCTATTTTCAAAGAGATCACAGACTATAACGGAATCAATCACTTGGAGTCCAACCGGATATCCGAGTTGTTGAGCGCATCCAATGTTATAAACTATCCGTTTTCGTCAAACATAACCGAAATAACAGATTATGACTTATTTGTCCGGTTAATGGCACCGGGAAGTGATACTTACGTAAAAAATATAATTACATTCATCAAAAGTCTGGACAGTTTTAGAAATATCTGTAAAAGTGATCAGTTTTCACTTGTAAAGTACGGGTGCTTTGATTTAATACAGTTCCGAGCGATGACTTATTTGGATACTCACCGAAAGCATTATTTGTTCCCAATTGTAAGTCTCTCTCTCTTTCTCTCTCTTTCTCTCTCTCTCTCTCTCTCAAATGTTTATTAATTACCAATATAAATTTATTACTAGGATGAACATACTACTATATGCTTTCCCATTGAAGTAGTAAAACATCGTAACATGGAAATATTCAACAAAACCAAACCAATAGTGGACCGACTGTTGACTGAATGGCAACACGATTCTGTTATTATGGAATTGGTATTCAATAAATATACTGGGCAGTTTTAATTATGACACATTAAATTTATATTTATAGTTAACAGCAATTATAATATTTAATCCAAACGCACCGAATGTAACAC